CGCCCCCGCCCATCCCCCTCCGCCACCACGCGCACGCATCCACGTACGCTGCCCGGCAACCAGAGGCTCCGCCACCTCTTCCCGTTCAGCTGTGCTTATTGGCCGGAAGAAACCCAGCGCTTCGGTCTTGGTTGGGTTTACGGTTGGTTTCCCTGCCGTAGCGCTCAACCACGGGAGCATTCGATTGGATAAACTGGAAGGCAAGGCTGAAATTGGGGTAGGCGGGGCTTCCTCATACCTTGACGAAATGTCGTGAATGAAAGGAAGGCGCCCGAAGCAGCACAGTAGTGAGGAGTTTAGGAAAGTGCCTGATTTGGGTAAGCGAATACACCTGGCGACTGTCTACACAGCTGATCACCTTAAAGTTTTCATATGCCCGTATTTAATATCCATCTCTGCAGAATAAGGGATGTGATGGCAATGGCATTTAGCTGCGTGTTTTGAATCAGGCTCTGGAATGGACACCCCTACCTTAGGGGGCCTCTGGACAGCCAGAGAAGTACGGAAGATGCTAGCGATGGCGGCTGGGCCCGTTGGATTGCTTGGGCCGGCCTTCGGGCTGCACTTGCTGTTGACTACTGTGCTTCAGGCGGTGAGTTTATATCACCTCTGCGGCTGTCCTGGGGCGAGTAGGAGGGATTGCATCTGAAGAAGGCTTCGTTTTGGGGAGCGTACTTAGAAAAGCGTGGAAGAACTGGGCTTCCTTAGTGACTGCTGCGGCCGGAGTGCGACGTGGCTTAATTCCATGCATAATCTGTATCCCTGACCGCCTTCCGTTTCTGGTTGCGGTCTTCTGACTTCAGATTATTTTGGGAACTTATTTTTTCCATACGCAGCTCTAGCTAAAAACACCAGAAATCACATGGTGGAGGAAAAAAGGCAATAAAGCTTGGAAAATAATAAAATGTGCTTATAAAAGGCCAGAAACGAAAGAGACTACGTTCTTTATGATGAGGCGCTCAGATCTTTCAGGAAAGCCCAAGTCTTGATCCGGGCGAACAATCCTATTTATTTTTCGGTCTGCACAGCCCTCCCTCCCCTCTCTCCCTTCCCTCCCCTCCCTTCTCTTCATTTCTCTCTTCTCTTCTCTTCTCTTCTCTTCTCTTCTCTTCTCTTCTCTTCTCTTCTCTTCTCTTCTCTTCTCTTCTCTCTCGTTTTATCCACTTAACTGCTAGCTCCTTACTTCCGTTCTCTGACGTGCACGTTCCACAGAGTGCACTTCGTGCGATTTTTAGTTTTCAACAGCATTGTTGCAGTAAAAGGAGCTACTCTACCAACTCATTTTATTTTTGAAAAAAAATATTAATGATAGCCATCACCATGACACCAAGTTTTTGTTTTTCTTCATAAACGAAACAAGTGGGTTCTTAATTTTTGAAGGGGAAAGCCTAGATTTAACTCATTTTCCTGTTCATCTGCGAAACAAGTAGATATTAGTTAGCTCCTCATAAGACGTTTGCAGCCCTCGTTTTGCTCTCTAAATAATAAAATTTTAGGCACCAGGAGCCTTTACATTTCTTAACTAAGCCTGATTCTTTTGGTTCTCTACTGAGCCTAAGGAAGTTTTCTCCATTTATCCAATGTTTGGGAAAGGTAGGAATCTTAGGCCTGTGTGAACACCTCTTCTTTCATCAGGAGTTTGAAATCATTCTGCTGTCTGCTTTTGCTATCTTGCCCAAAGGTGAAATTTTTACTTCTCTAATTGACATTCCAATATTCCATTAAACAAGCATGTTGGTTTCCTAGAAACTAATCACTCCTCTGTGGACTTTCTTTACAATTTTTTGCCTATCTTCTCTTTCGAATTCACTATCATGACCATGGAAAAATTTTGAAAAGCAGTAACATTTCAAATTACCTTCTCCTGATTTTCCTATCTTTTTTACTTTGAGTTGTCCAGGTCATCTCACCACCCAAAAACTTAGTGGCTTAAAGCAGTGATGGCTTGTAATTCTGTGGGTCAGCAGAGAAGTACCTCTTTTGATTTCCTCTGGTCTTATGTATGTACTATGTTGAGCTAGTAGGTCTACTGAACTGAAAAGTTCAAGAGTATGGTCCTGACACCCAGAGCCACTTGGTTCTCCTCCATAGCTTCCTAACTGGTCTCCCCATCTGTTTCCCTTTCTAATCCAGTCTCTGTTGTATATTCAAAGTGATCATTCTTGAACTTAGGTCTGCTAAAAGCAAAAGTCTTCAATGACTCCCTGTTGCTTTTAAGGTGAAGTCTGTGCTTTTTAGCATTCCATAACAATGATTCCATAATATCCAGTCTTATTCCCAGCGTGTACATCTGCTAGGAAAGCAAGAAGGTAAGGGTGAATTGAGTTCACTTGTTTTCATATATTTCACATACTGTGTTAGGCTCTCCCTTGTCAGACCTTTGAACATGGTATTTCCATTACGTAGAAGCTGTTGCTTCTAATCCTCCTGTCCCACTCCTCCGCCTCACAGCAAAAAATAGGGCAATCTAATACTTATTTTTAAACACTCTAGTTCCCCTCTGAAAAAGTAATTCCTCCAGGAAAACTTTTCTGTACTAAGTGTAGTCTAGATTTTTTAATCACTAGAGGGTACATACATTCACCAAAGAGAGACAGGGAAAGTGCACTCCCCTATGCGGCATGGTCACACTGCAATCCTTTCTCCGTTTTTCCATCCTTGTGATTTGGTACATCTGGAGGTCCCAGAATTCAGACCACAGTCAGCCATGTGGGATGTGGCTTCCTTACCACTAGTTTACAAGGCTGACCCAAACTTCTCTTTTATAATTTCTTGATACATGGCATTTTCTTACTGTATTAACTGTACTCCCACAGTGAATCTAGGGAAGGACCCCATCTCTTTAGTCCTCTTGTTATAGTCCTAGTGACATGCATATAAAGTAATACAGTGCCAAACCTACCAGTGAAATATTTGATAATGAATTAGGAAATCTACAGACAAAGCACTGAAAACATGAAAGTTTGAAACCTGCCTGGAAACCATTATCAACCCTGTATTCTAATTAGCTTCATACGTCTTTTGTTATCTAGTGATCTTAGCCAGCGGTGTGTATGAGAATTTTGAGAGGAGAGGATGGTAAAATATAGATCTGATCTCTTAACTGTGCAACTCTAGCTAGTAAGTGCAATAAACAAAACCTTATGAAAACAGATATCAACTTACCCATTCTTTTGTGAATATGACCTTCAGAGGGATCCTAATTTAAAGTAAGCCAACAAATAAAACTGTTGGGTTATCAGTCACAACCACGCTATTACATTTAAATAGTCCCAAAAATGCCCTCCTGCACAACTTCTCTCAAAATCGTTTGAGTTCATGCTCATGATATTGTTTTACTTAGTGGAGAAAATAAAAACAACACTCAACTTTAATCTATTTTCTAATTTTTAACTTCTATTTAACTGATTGTAATCTAAAATAAATTAATTTATTCTTTGCCTTAGTTTCCTTATCTCCTTCTCTATACAATACAATATTTATAAAGAATGCAAAGTTCATATTCCTTTTCTAGATTTGTAAAGTTAAATGTATTTAACTTTTATCTCCCTTATTTTATCATCATACTTTATGCTATAACACTAATCTGTAGTCATAACCAAATCATAGCTCTACATGTTTGTGTCCCTCCAACCCTCCTGCTTCCATGCCAATTAGTATGTCGCCAAAGGGAATACAGGGACGGGGGGTGGGGGGTAGGGGGGGCTTATGTATTTTTTTTTCATTGTGCTTCATGCGTATTCATTTCGATTTCTCTGGGGTAGTTATGGCTTCCCAGTTCATTTGTGTTCCATGCTATCAGAGTCACCAGGAGATAAGTAGTTTGTATAGCATGATGATGAACCCCACCCACTCCCAAAAATGTATTAGTAAGGACATTTGTAATCTCCTTGTAAGAAGTGTTGGAAAAACAGAATTTAGGAAAACTGCTGTATTACACAGTTAGCCTAAAGAGGAAAAAGATCAAGTGGGACAAGTAGTAGGTAGTAGTGAAAATTATCCAGATCTTTGGAATATGACAAAGAAATGAAAAAGGACTGAGGGAACAATTCCTTGACATTTTGAATTTGATATACTGCTAAGGACCACAGATAAAACTACCATCAGGTTTTAGCTCATGTTTTGTTCATTCACACCTCTGAGTCCTTAGACTTTAGACAAATTGAGCTTTTATCACTGCCTGCACCTCTGAATAGCTATAATTTCAAGTTAATAGAAATACATAGTTATCAGCATTCCTGACAACTGAGAGGATATAAAGTGACTTAATCTGAAAATACATCCTAAGTAGGTTTTCTCTCTCTCTCTTTCTCACTCTCTCTTTTAAGATTTTTTGCTATAGGGCGTCTGCCATTGCTGGAGAGGCAGAAAGACAGAAAGCAAGAAATCACATATACCCCCAGGGTCGGGGGGGATGGCCACACACACTGCAGAGACTATAGTTAATGTTACTCCTTCTCCGTTCTCCTCTTGGGATTTTGGGCACGCATGCACACACACCCAGTGTGAGTTTTAAGCCACCAGGTCCGGGACTTGAACTGCATTCAGCTATGTGAGAGTCCAGTGATATAACCATTACTCCATCTGCTGGTCCCATTCTGAGTATTCTTAAGCATTTGAAGAAAAGTAGTATTTTTGTACAGCCTAAGGAAGCTGTTTTCTAGACCACCCCAGAACTCAGTGGTATTCGATTCTTCATTTAGATTATATCTCAAGGACCAGCAGATGGCGTAATGGCTACATCGCTGGACTCCCATGTAGGCAACTGCAGTTCAAGTCCCAGACCTGGTGGCTTAAACTCACACTGGGCACGTGTGCATGTGTGCCCAAGATCCCAAGAGGAGAATGGAGGAGAAGGGATTGTGGCGTGACCGTCCCCCCCAGGGGGTGACTTCTCACTTTCTTTCTCTCTGTCTTTCTGGCAAGCGCACGCACCCTATAGCAAAAACTTCTCCCCCCCAAAAAAAAATATATATATGTGTGTGTGTATATGTATATAGATAGATAGATAGATAGATAAAGATCATATCTCATATATATCTGTCTATCTATCATATATCATATATACTCATTCTGAAAGACAGTGTATGGAAAGCTCTACAGGATGATCATTGAGATACATCCCATCCCATTTCTTCAGAGGTTAACATTTTAATGAGTATTATAATAGAGGCGTTGCACAATTGTAGCCGTCACATTTTTGTTATTCTTGGCGGTACATACAATAATGATGCATCATAGGATCTGTGAAATATGGTAGTCCAAAACAGTGGTGAGGGGTTCCAAGAACAGGTTTTTTGGTTTTGTTTTTTGTTGTTGTTGGTGGTTTTTTTTGTTTTTTTTGTTTGTTTGTTTGTTTGTTTTTTAAGAGAGATTTTTGCTATAGGGCACATGAGCTCTCTGGAGAGACAAAGACAGAAAGAGAGAAAGTGAGAATTCATCCCCCAAAGGGGATGGCCACACCACAATCCCTTCTCTGTTCTCCTCTCAGGATTTTGGGTATGTATACACGCCTGGAGTGAGTTTTAAGCCACCAGGTCCAGAACATGAACCATGGTCAACTATGTGGGAGTCTAGTGATGTAATCATTACACCATCTACTGGTCCCTTGTTTTGTTTTGTTTGTTTGTTTGTTTGTTTTTAGCTTGCCAGAGGGAGCATATGCTTGCCAGAGAGACAAAGGGAGGGGAAGAAGAGAGCACTCCCCATGGGAATGGTTATGCTCAATCCCTTCTATTCTCCCTCCTTTGGGGTTTTTGGGCTCATACATACACATATCCACCATGTTTTTCAAGCTGCCCTGTCTAGGACCCAAACCAACTGGCTGTCCATATGGATTCCAGCTCCCTTAACTACCAGACCACGGGCTAGTCCTAAACAGAATAGTGGTTAATGCCTTTGTGTTTGGTGATTTAAAAACTAGGCTGTATGAAGAATTCAGAAATGACAGAATGTGAGGAAAGCAGTTAAAACCAGAAGTTTGAATGTACTGGAGAATTGAGTCAGTGATGAAATAAAAACCTCATGAAAATGAGAATAGAATCCAAAACACAGATACAGGAATTGGCCTGAGACAATTGGAGGTATATGAGGTTTTCAAATGGGATCATGGAAAATGTATACTATGAAAACACTGAATTTCATTTGGGGGGGGGGTACCTGGATAAATTCACACTTTAATTATGTTTTCCATGAACTTTCTTTTTTCTTTATTTTTTACTTATTATCATCATAATCTTGTTTATATTACATTGAATTGCATATAACTTTACACTGTATTACATTGCTTTTTCAAAAGGGAATGCCATGCATGTCAGTCAATACAGAGACATTAAAATCCCCACTTCATCATTCAATATCTTTTCATTGTTTTTCCTGTTCATTCTTACTGTTATTCCAATTATTTTTTTAACCAATCACTATTTCTCATTTTGCTTGTAAAAAGACTTTACCCATCATGAAATACTTCCCAGACCAATCCAGTTGAGAATAGTATAGAAGTCATCAACAATAGGTAATAAGCCATATCTGTGTCCCACTCTTCACTCCCCCATTCCACACTGTCTTATTCTCCTTAAGTATTATCACTGCTTTTATGTCCTCCAGTATTTCGCTCTCTACCATAGAGTGCAGATAGTCAGTATAGTTTAATCCATGAACTTTCTGAAGTCCTTCATATATACCACCATATTCACAGGATGTGGAACAAAATGGATGAGGACTCGCCGGGCGCGTGTGCGTGCATGCCCATGATCCCGAGAGGGGAATGGAGGAGAAGGGATTGCGGCGTGACCATCTGCCCTGGGGGGTTATTTCTCGCTTTCTGTCTCTATGTCTCTCTCTGTCTGTCTGGCGAGCGCACGCGCCCTATAGTGAAAATCTCTCTCAAAAAAAAAAAAAATGGATGAGGACTGAGAACTGATATTTGGGCAAGTTTGTTTTTGTCAGTTATTCTTACTTGTTATGTAGTCATTTTATTTCATTTTTACAGCAATCTGTTTTATGTAGGCAGAATCGCTTCTTGCATTAGGAGTGAGGAATTAAAGTTTAGAAAATATAGCTTGCCCAGAGTCTCACACACACAACTTATAAGTAGTGGAGCTGATGCCCAAAACCAAAAGTTTGATTTCTATAGACTCTTGCATTCCCCCATACCATCTCCTTTCCCACCCTCCACCTGCTGGATGTGACCACTGATAAATCTGTAGGGTATGGTGGAGACTATAGTTAATGTTACTGCTTATACCCATTTGAACAGGCACTACATTCTTAAAATGAAGTGGGAATAAATGTGTTCATACAAGGAAATGTCTTTTTAAAGACTAATGTTTTATAAAATACAGTATGTAATTTAGTATTATGAAAATGATCTTTTTGTTAATCTATGTTACAGCTTAACTGAAAGATGATTGTTTTGAGGCCAGCAGATGACGTGGTGGTTAAGATGCTGGACACTCCCACATGGCCAACTGTGGTTCAAGTCCCTGACCTGGTAGTTTGAAAGTCATGCTGAGCTCATGTGTGCGCATGTCCAAAATCCCAACAGGAGAATGGAAGAGAGGGGATTGCGGTGTGGCCAGTCCCCAAGGGGGTGATGGGGGGGTATCTCACTCTTACTGTCTCTCTTTGCCTCTCTCTAGCAAGTGCAAAAACTTTAAAAAAAAAAAAAAAAAAGTTGTGGGGAATGTGGGAAGAACCAAACACTCTCATACAAGGTTATAAAGTTTAAAAATAATTGAGAATTTGTCTCTAGAGGAAATATTTCAGTAACTCAACTCCAGAGCGTTAGATTGTGTGGGTGTGTGAATGTTAGATTTTAACAACCAAATTTTCTCCTTTTTTGAAGTTTTGTAATGTAAATATGAAATTGTGTCTTATTTCTCTTTTTATTTCCAGGTGTCTGCTTTGGGGGCAGAGTTTTCATCAGAGGCATGCAGAGAATTAGGCTTCTCTAGCAACTTGCTCTGCAGCTCTTGCGATCTTCTTGGACAATTCAGCCTGCTTCAGCTGGATCCTGATTGCAGGGGATGCTGTCAGGAAGAAGCGCAATTTGAAACCAAAAAGGTACTGTTTTCTAGTATATTTCTTAAAATGTAAGTTGCTTAATCTGCCTAAGTGTAAAGGAGTCTTTATCTTTTAAATTTTTTAGTAAAATTCAACTGACTTCTTGCCTGGCCCATTAGATCAAAGCAAATAGGAAGGAAAGTACAATTATATGCCAGGAGTACATTTCACCATGGTTGAAAAGGAGAGGAGCAGAATCGCCGTAGCATGGTTGGATCCTATAGCTCTCCAGTCTTCTTAACTTCTGATTAAATGAAGCCAAGGAATAATTAATTAGGTGGTTTTGTTTGTTTTTGTAATAAGAACCCAGTGATGAAATTTGAAGTGGAAGTAAAGCATGTAATACCTGGCATATAATTATAGATTAGTAAGTTGTAACTTTTTTTTTTAAAGAATTATCTATTCAATTTTATTTATTATTTTTTAATTTGATGAGAGAGAAAGCAAGAAAGCAAGCTACCAGGTCTGGATTCAAACCATGGTCAGCCATGTGAGAGTCTAGCTCCTTAACCACCTTGCCACCTGTGGGCCCCAAGTTGTAACCTTAAATCTAGTTAGCAAAGAATACGGACTGTTAATTTACACATCTGGTGCTAATAAGTGGCAACACCAAGGATAGATAATTCAGTTCAATGAAATCTGGTATATTTCTAATCCACTATTCAAACAAATTAGTGGTGAACTTGCTCAACTTTTAAATCTTTTCAATAAAATCTTTTTTTTTTTTCATTTTAAATTATAAATTATACTTTAAACTATAAAGTGAACTGAGAGATCACTTATGTCACCCAGGTAAAACTGCATTAGTGAGATCATTACATTGGGGTAAGAAAAAATTTTAGCATCATTCTGTTAAGTTTCCTTTTAGTATTCTCTTTCACTTGCACACACTGAATTCTTTTTGCGGAGTTATGGTTTGTAAAGCTTTCAGACATTAGTGATATCTTCCTATTGTTAGGTAATAAAAGTTTATTTCTAACATAGAGTATATTGAGTATCTTTAGAGTTCTAAAAGAAAAACCAGCAGACAGGCTTTAAAAATCTGGTATGCAGCCAAAATTTAATACTGATTTCTCAGTATCATGAATCCAAAATTCCCAGTGTCCCAAAAATGGTTTGTGAAGTCTTAATGTGTTTTTCACTTTATTGATTCACATATACCAAGAATATATTTTAATGTTTAGAAGATTTCCATACTTGTATGTAAGTCTTTATTGCATGAACTAAAGTCTAAACAAGTTTTTAAAACCTTATTTGCGGGGCCAGCCAAAAGGAGTGGTGGTTAAGGCACTAGATTCCATGTGACCGACTACACGGTTTGAATCCCAGACCAGGTAGCTTGGAAAATTTTCCAGGTGCATATGAGTGCATGCGATGCCCATTCTCAATGGAGGAGAAGGGATTGGGGAGTGGCTATCCCTCTTGGGAGGTGATTTATCTCTCTCTCTCTCTCTCTCTCTCTCTCTTCCCCCCCCTTCCTCCCTCCGGGGAGCACACACACTCTGTAGCAGTTTTTGTTTTTTTTTTTTAATTTTTAAAAAATTATTCCCAATAAAAGCATAAAATGTCTTTGAAATCGTATCATTCTGCTGATAGATGTTCCATTATTCTTATTTGGCCTTGTTTCTCTCTTGACCACATCTTGGTCCCTAAGGACTTACTGAGCCTCTCAAATACTAGGTAGAATGAAATTTTGGTAAGCTATTATATTGCCATTAGAACCAGTCTTGCTTACAACTCTGTAACCAAGTGTAGTTTATAAACACTAGTAAGCATGTTGGCTTTATCATGAAAAATATTCTAATTTATAACTTGACAAAACATAAATTTACAAAAGTATTTGAATTTCCGTGCTATTTTTATAGTCAGTCGTTACCAAGTAGCATACGTGACTGCAACTTTACATAAAGGTAATGCACCTTAAAGATATCCAGTCCAATTGAATGACACCTGCCCCCATTGATCTTATATTAGAACTTTCTTAACTTAAAGCCTTAAGAAAAGTAGTTAATATTTTGGCTCCTGAACTCCATAGCTGAGCAACAACCTAGGACGAAGTAGATAGCTATGAATCAAAGACTGACTGGATCTTACTGTTTGTGTTTGTTGTGTTTACATGTTAAGGTCTGTTCTTTTTTTTAGGAGGTTTTTCCTATAGGGTGCTGCCAGGAAGACAGAGAGAGACAGAAAGCGAGAAATCACCCCCCAGGGGGGGGGATGGCCATACCACAATCCCTTCTCCTCCATTCTCCTCTCGGGATCTTGGGCACGCACGCACACGCACCCAGTGTAAGTTTAACCCACCAGGTCTGGGACTCAAACCGCGGTCAACTACATGGGAGCCCAGTGACCTAGCCATTATGCTAACTGCTGGTCCCTGTTCATTTATTTTTTTTAATACTGACTTTTTCCTTGTGGTAGAAAGATATAATTACTGGCATTTCCCAAATTTTTACATTTTATAGCTTTTTCTACTAAAGGACTAACTCTCCCTCATTTACATTTTACAATATTTTAGACAAGCCAGCAATAACATTATAGCAGAAAATTATGTTTGTGATATAAAAATAGTCACTGTATGAAAAATCAAGCTATCAAACTAATCACAGTACATTATAACTTTCGTTCTAACATTTCCACTGCTGCTGGTTTAATCTACTACATGGTAACATATTACAAAGGTTTAAGAAAAATTTGAAAGAATGAAGCCTAAATGTGATTTTAAAAAAAAAAAAAACAAAAAAAAACTACAGGTTGAAATTTCTTTATTTCAGTTTTGAAACATTTTGGTCTCATTCACTGAATAATAGTAGAAGCCCTAGGCTGCAGATCACTGAATCATTGTGTTACTTATCCTGGAAAATAAGTCGGCAGTTCTCATATTTAATAAAATGCTCTTATTTCTCTAAAAAGTACTCTTCAGATTATAGAACAATAATAAATAGACCTGTGCAGTGCATAAAATAAATTAACAATATAGTTGGAGTCACTTCTATACCCATTGCCTTTTTGGGATTGGACTAATTTTAATTCACTCTGTATAATAGCGTTACCATTTTTTATGTGTATTATACTCTTCCTTGATACTTACACTCCAACAGGACAGAGACAGTACAAAGGTAGTATTCGTACATGTATAGTTCATGAGAAGCCTATCTCCTTCTCTGTAAATTTGTTTATTTTTGGTATAGGGTGTATGTGCTCACCAGAGAGAGAGAGACAGAAAGAAATCAGCCCCGAGAGGGAGATGGCCACACCACAAGCACTTCTCTTCCATTCTCCTCTTGGGATTTTGCACTTAAATACACATGTGTTTTAAGCCACTGAGTCCAGGACTCGAATTGTGTTGGACTACATGGGAGTCCAACAATATAACCATTATGCCATCTGCTGGTCCCGACCTCTGTGAGTTTTTAAGAGCAGATTTTTTTTTTTCAAAGAGAGAATTTTGCTATAGGGTGTGTGCACTTGCCAGAGAGACAGAGAAGGCAGAGAGACAGAAAGCGAAAAATCACCCCCCAGGGGGGATGGCCATGCTGCAATCCCTTCTCCATTCTCCTCTTGGGATTTTGCACTTAAATACACATGTGTTTTAAGCCACTGAGTCCAGGACTCGAATTGTGTTGGACTACATGGGAGTCTAGCAACATAACTATTACACCATCTGCTGGTCCCCAAAGCTGATTATACATCTCATTTCATTGCTTACTGACTTTGTGACTTTAAGCTGACAAATAACTCTAGTATCCTTAGTTTTGTCAAAATAATTACATCGGCTGACCTTTGAGTGTTTATTTTACACTGGTTATATAGTAGATATTTTAAGTACATTATCTATTTAATCCTCACACAACCTATAATGTGGATATTATGATCCCCAATTTTTTGGGGGGGCGGGGAGGTTTTTGCTATCGGGCACGTGCGCTCGACAGAAAGGCAGAGAGAGAGACAGAGAGACAGAAAGCGAGAAATCACCCCCCAGGGGGGATGGCCATGCTGCAATCCCTTCTCCATTCTCCTCTTGGGATCTTGGGCACGCACGCACATGCTCTCAGCGTGAGTTTAAGCCACCAGGTCCGGGACTCAAACCGCGGTCAACTACATGGATGTTCAGCAACATAGCCATTACGCTAACTGCTGGTCCCATGATCCCTAATTTAATAGAAGAGAAACTAGAACATTATCTGCCCAGAGTTACCTGACAATTAGATGCTTGGACTTAACTTCATCTCACTGTGTTTGATTCCAGATCCGAAGTTTATAAACCTCTGCACTATTTTGCCTCTCCTCTTGAAATGTTAATAATAATACCATACAGTAAGAATTTGAATGAATTAAGTATAAAAACACTGGATTGGTTTTCAGATGCTCCTTTTGCATTTACAGTTAACAATTTTAATTATTTTATTACAGGTTTTTATTTTAAATAAATTTTCATTTCTCAGTGTACCACACATTTTAATGGCTCCAATTACTTGTTTTTCAAGAATATGTTACCTAATTTGGCTGTATTTAAGTCCAACCAAGCAACAGCTTAAACAAGTAACATAATTTTTTCAACTCTGATAGGAGAACTTCAAAACATTTCGTTGTTTTCAATTTGCACAGAAATTCTGTTACTAATTTCAGGGTAATTCAGAAATCAGCTTAAGCAGCATTGTTCAAGACACTGCGAATTTTAAGCTTCAGCCTGTCAGAAATGGAATGCTACTAGTGTGTAAAACATAGAAGGATGAAATGGAGGTTAAGCCAACTGTGCGTGAAATTGTAGTCACTAAAGAAATTTCACAGTTGCTTAAAATAGCTTTGCTTTTGTAGTGTGTCTGTAGCATTGGTACATGAACTGATTTCCTAGAAGGAAGCAAAAATAAAAATGTCTTTTACAAATTATACTAATTATAATACAAAAACATTCACAAAGAAGTTATTTTTTTTTTAATTTCAATGTTTGGCAACAGAACTCCTTAATAGCAGCAATACTGAATAAGGACACAATGTTT